TACATGTAAGAAGGCAGGGGAGAGTTAGGCTGTGTAATGGAGTCTTTTTTCCTTGTGGTAAGCCAAATAATCTATGTCAGGGTCAAACTTAAAACTTTTAACTTAATCCCATGTTTGAACGTAAACCAAAAGAGTTTCAATGAGAAGCAGAAACTGGTTCATTTCTAGGTTTTGGCAAAATTAACAAAAGATATATTTCTTTGTGGCAAACAAATGTTACAGATGTGCACCATTTTGGGGTCATTTTAAGAAGGTGAATTGGACATTTTCTCCTACAGGGAGTTAGGGAGTGAACTGAATGAGCTCTGATGAGCCCCTGGAGCCAGAGGGTCCCCATTTATTGCATTATGTGTGATCACTACAGGAAAACAGGCAAGAATTTCTTTTTAGTAACTTTTATTTGATTGTTTCCGATTTCTGAAATGTTCCTTTGATGGAAGTTAGATAATGCTAAAATGAAAGGACCATTTTGGTCATCTAATCTAGCCCTTTCTCCAGGTGAGATGATTTTAAACTTTCAACCACATTCCTATCTATCTCATTTTGAAATGCAGGCATGCCTTAGAGATATTTTGGATTTGGTTCTAGACCGCCATAATAAAGCGAGTACCACAATAAATTAAGTCATAATCTTGATGGTCTTTCCTTCAATTTGTAAAAAAGGCAATATCTGTGAAGCACAATAAAATGAGATATGACTGTAATCTTAAGAAATAGAAGATATACAGATGGTCAACAGACATATGAAAAGATGCTCAGCATCACTAATCATCAGGGAAATACAAATCAACCACAATGAGATACTACCTTAGAACTCTCAGAATGGCTATTATCAAAAAGTCAATCAGTGTTGGAGAAAATGTGGAGAAAAGGGAACACTTGTGCACTGTTGGTGGGAGTGTAAATTGGTGTGGCTACTATGGAAAATAGTATGGAAAACTAAAAGTAAATCTACCATATGACACAGCAATTCCACTTCTGGGTGTTTATCCAAAGAAAATGAAAACACTAATTTGAAAAGATACATATGCATTCCAGTCAACATGGTGGCGTAGGTAAATGCCGTGCTCACCTCCCGCGACCACATCAAAAATTACAACTAAATTATAGAACAATCAACCAGGAGAACCAATTGAAAACTAGCCGAACAGAAGTCCTACAACTAAGGATATAAAGAAGCGACGTCAAGACTGGTAGGACAAGCAGAGATGTGAAATGGGCTGGCCCCACGTATTGGTTGAGAATTGGGAGAGAGACTCAGCTGCAGAGGTCCCTCCCACCACCGAAAAGCAAGGGGTCCCAGTTCCACACCGAGATCCTCAGCTTGTGGAGCACCAGTGCCAGGGAGAGGAGCCCCCACAAAATCTGGCTGTGAAAATTAGGGATTCCATCCATCTGGGTGAGATAGAGGGCTACTAGAAAACCAGATATCCTCTTAAAGGACCCATACACAGACTCTCTCTTGCAGGTACTCACCCTAGGCTGTGGTGGAGCGACAGTGGCTCAGGAGGTGGCAGAGACATACAAGAAGAAAATAAGTTGTGTGGCTTTAGGGAGAGGCCTGGAGGAACAGCCGCCATTGTCTCTGTGTTTAACCCTCCTCCCACACAACCAGCAGGAAGATGTCACCTTTCCTGTGTTGAGCCTTCCACCAACACAGCCAAATCTGAATCTACATTGGCCTGGTGAACTTTGCTTGCTCTACTCTGGTGACTCCTTGAGACCCCCACCCCACCCCACTCACTGCCAAAGGCTCTTTCAGCAGTAGGCAGCTGGCCTTGGCTGGTCTGCAGTCTTTCTTAAAAAGCTCTCAAAAGTCTGCAGGCCCCAAGCAGGTGGTGACTGGCCTTAGTGTGCCCTGTGCCTTTTGTTGAGTGGCCCCAGGCTCAGCGCTGGTGCCACATCTGAATCTGCATTAACCTAGTGAACTCTACCCTCCCCACCTCACCCAACTCACGTACCTCCCGAGGCTCGCTCAGTGACAAGGCCTTATGGGCAGCTAGCAGGCCTCAGGGTGCCTTGTGCCTTTTGCTGAGCTGCCCCAGGCCCAGTACTGGTGGCAGCTGTCCTCAGTTCATATTGCGGTCTTTCACATAACTCCATGTCCAGCATAGGCAGCTACCAACCACAGATCACTTTGCAGCTCCTACCAGGTAGCCCTGGACTAATCACAGGCAGTGGCTGATCTTGGCCTGGACTCGAGGCTTTCCCAAGAGGCCCCAGAATCAACACACCTAGTGGCCAATTTCAGACCACAACAGAGTACCACCCAATTAGTCCTACAAACAGCATACCCAAAGGGTGGTCTCTGTAGGCACCAGAACCCACTGGAGCGAATCTTGCATTGTGGGGTCAGCCCCCACAGAGCAGCTCATATGCTGTTAATGTGGCCAATCTTCACAGCCAGTCATCCTGAGGGCAATCCTACCCATTTATGTGCCAACAGCAATTAAGGCTCAACTACAATAGGCTTTACTACATAAAGCCACCATGCCAAGACTGGAGATGTAGCAGATCTTAAATACATAGAAACAAACACAAAGAGGCTACTAACAATTCCACAAAAACAAACAAAAAAACACCTATTAAACTAATAAATGAATTCAGTAAAGTAGCAGGATACAAAATTAATATTCAGAAATCAATCACTTTTTATACATCAATAATGAACTATCAAAAAGAAAAATTAAGAAAACAATCCCATTTACTATAGTATTAAAAAAATACCTAGGAAGAAATTTAGCCAAGGAATTAGACAACCTGTATTTGGAAAATTATAAGACACTGAAGAAGATAAAAATAAACGGAAGGATATACCATGCTCATGGATAGGAAGAATTAACACCATTAATACTACTCAAAACAATCTATAGATTCAATGCAATCCCTATTGAAATATCAATGGCATTTTTCACAGAACTAGAACCAATAATTCTAGAAGACCCCAAATAGACAAAGCACCACTGAGAAAAAAGAACAAAATTGGAGGTATCACAATACCTGACATTAAACTATACTACCCTCTGGCTCTCCCCCTAGCCAATACATTAATGCTAACTGCATTCCCTACGCCATGCTCTCCATCCCCGCGACTCTCTAGCAACTACTAATTTGTACTTCTCTAACCCTTCTATGCCTATACACTCACTTAATGTATGACAAAGGAGGCAAGAATGTACCATGGGGTAAAGACAGTCTCTTCAATAAATGGTGCTGGAAAAATTGGACAGATACATGCAAAAAAAAAAAAAAAAGAAAGAGAAAGAAAAACTAGATCGCCTTCTTATTTTATATATAAGAATAAACTCAAAATGGATTATAGACTTATATGTAATACCCAAAACCATAAAACTCCTAGAAGAAAACATAGGCAGTAAACTCTCTGACATTGCTCTTAGAGATATCTTTTCTGATATATTGCCTTGGGAAAGGGAAACAAGAAAAAATAAACAAATGGGGCTACATCAAACTAAAAAGTTTTTGCACAGCAAAGGAAACTATCAACAAAATGAAAAGATGACCTACCGAATAAAGAAGATATTTGCCAATCATACATCCACCCAGGAGTTAATATCCAAAATACATAAAGAACTCATATAACTAACACCAAAAACCCCTAAACAATCCAATTAAATAATAGGCAAAGACATTTCTCTAAAGATGACAAACAGATGGCCCATACACATATGAAAAGATGCTCAATGTCAGTAATTATTAGAGAAATGCAAATTAAAACCACAGTGAGATATCACCTCACACCTGTTAAAATGACCACCAACAAAAAAAATCAAAAAACAAGTGTCGGCGAGGACATGGAGGAAGGGGACCCCTCACACAATGTTGGTGGAATTACAAACTGGTACAGCCACTATGGAAAACAGTATGATGTTTTCTCGAAAAATTAAAAATAGAACTACCTTATGACCCAGTGTTTTCACTTCTGCGTATTTGTCTGAAAAAAATCCAAAGTACTGATTTGAAAAGATACATGCACCCCTATGTTCCTTGCAGCATTATCTACAATAGTCAAGATATGAAAGCAACCTAAGTACCCCTCAATAGACGATTGGATAAAGAAGACGTGGTACATATATACATCAGAGTATTACTGGGCCATAAAAGAAAATCAAATCTTACCATTTGTGACCACACAGATGGGCCTAGAGGGTATTATGCTAAGGGAAATAAGGCAGACAGAGAAAGACAAATACCATGTATTTCACTTACAGGTGGAATATAGAGAACAAAAGAAGTGGACAAACAGACCCATTGATACCAAGAACAAACTGATGGCTGCCGGATGGGACGGGGGTTGGGGGAAATGGGTGAAAGGTGAAGGGGAATAAGAGGTACAAACTTCCAGTTATAAAATAAATAAGCTGCAGGGGGTGTAATGTACAGGGACTGTAGTCAATAATATCGTAATAACTTTGTACAGTGACAGACAGCTACTAGATGTATTGTGGTGATCACTTTGTAAGGTATATACATGTCGAATCACTACGTAGTACACCTGAAATTAGTGTCATATTGTGTGTCAACTACACTTGAAAAATAATAATAATAATAAAAGGAATAAACAGGAAGCAGGAAAAATAGAGGAATCATTGCTTGCCTCAGTAGCCTGTCCTGGTGTTCAAGCATGCTTGGCTCCCGAAAGCCCTTCCTCTTACCTCAGTATCTCTTTCTGTCATAAGCTCCCTTTTCTCTCTTGCTCTTTGGGGATGTAGAATAGCCAGTCACCTAGGCAGCATCTCTAGCCCACGCACTTGGACAGTTTTCTCCAGATTATTTGAACAGTAGCCTTTGTGCCTCTGTTCACTGGCAAAAGAAAATCTGACTCCGCCAAAGAGGGGTGCTCTTCTTGGTCCCCCACCTCTCTCCCGGCTCCCAACTTCCACGAAAGGGTGAAGTTCAAGGAAGAGGTCACCAGAGGTCTGAATCATTTTTGCAACAAGCTTTTATTATATTTTTTTAAAACTCATATAAGAAAGACATTTAAAGAGAAAATATCTCAAAACAAACACACACTGGGCAACACGACAATAGAAGGCACTACCAGCAGTCATGCCCACCTCTGGCGGGGGAAGGGACACTTAGTACACACTGTTTTCAGAGGCTTGGACCTCAGCCTGGGTCCTGGGTCTAACTGTGCTTTAGATAAAGTCTAAATTTTCCCCTAATATATTTCATAAACACCCCCATCTCTTTACATATAGCTATATGCCTTTATGGTATATATGTACATGACTTTTTTTCCTTCTCAAAAATAAAATTGCCACCCCCACCAGAGGGAGGTTCTCAGCAGCATCCACAGCGGCCGCAGCAGGAGCTGTGCCTTCTATTAACGTAAAAGACACGCAGCATGAAGGAGGAAGGACTCTCCAGCCACTCCCCTTAACATACAGCCAGGAGAGTCTCTAAGGGAGGGAAGTGATAAGGCTGAGCATGCGATGGCAGGTCACCAGGGTTTTTGTGGTTTACAAAATCTTTAAGCTGCTAGCCTGTCTTGCTTTTGCAGCTCCGAAGACTAGCACAGTTGTATGGTCAGCATTCCTTCTGGGATCGGGGCAGTGTGGACTCAGCAAGGGTCAGGGAGGGAACTTCTGAGGCTACACAAAGAAGCTTGGGCTTGAACCGACCCAGGAGGGACGTGGGAAGGCAGAGGACATGGAAGAAATGGTCTCTCAGAGGCTGAAAGGAAAATGGGCCCTGCTTGGAAAGTTAAAAGTGCTCCCTCTGCACTGGAGTGTCTCTGCAGTCCTGGCTACTTGCTAGAGTTGTCTGACTAGTTTATTTTTAAGTTTGGACCTAAACAAAGAGCCAGTACAAATGTAGAGCTGGGAAGGTGATCCTCCTTGTCAACGTGGTTTGACAGTCACATCTGGGAATCAAAGCCCAGGACCTTCAGTGGGAAGGAGGGCTGTGACCTCGTCCCATACTCGGAGGGAGGGCTCTCTTGGCCTTGTCTCCCACACCACCATGGTCCACTTCCTGGCAGGAGCAAGCCAGCCGCACAGCTTTAGGTAAACACACCCTGCTCCTGTATTTCTGAAAACAAAAAGGCACTGAGGTCAGCAGGGAGGCCAGCCCCACAGCTCACTGAGCGCAGTGCCACAGGCTGGCCCAGGCTTCAGAACACAAAGGACTCCGAGTTGGCTGAGCCGGAGGGACGCCTCCTCTGTAATCCCGGCAGCTCCTCTGGCAGCACCTGGAGATTCCACAGTCCCTGTGGGAGGAGGCGGTGCTGGAGGCCCAGGGGACACCACTGGCAGCCAGTCCTCCCCTGCACTCTAGCTGGGAGAAGGCTGAAGACCACTTAGACACATTTCTCTCCAACACTTTTTGGCTTTCTCTGACTGCCTGATTTCTGTACTCAGCAGGAGACTTCTAAAATGGTAAACAGTTTTTTTTTTCCCCTTAGTAGAAACATGAGCATGATGGCAATATTAATTTCAAAGTTGTAACTTAAAAGCAAACAGTTATTGACAAAGATATGGCTAAGTACATACATATGCAGATGGATGGGCTTTGGGTTTACAGGTGCACAGACTTGGCAGATCGGGGCAGGGCCAGGGCAGGCTGCTGCTTCTCTGGGAATCTCTGAGCCAACTTCAGCTCTGGTGCTCCTGACCTGAGCATCCGCAGCCAGTGGGGAACAATCTTTTTATGAGCTTTATCCTGCTTTCAGGCGCTTAGCTCAGACTTGCTAAAGGAATAAGCTACAACTTTAGACTCATAAATAAAGGTATATCGGGTGGCAAATAAGAGAGAAATTAAAGAATAAAAGCCGGAGAAAGAACATATATCTCTAAACTCTTTTTTTCTTTCCTTCGCCAGCTGGTGTGAACAGTTCCAGTTTGGTGACGAGAGAGGCAGCTGTTTGGTTTGTGAAGGGCTTGCAGGCTGCAGGAGGACCACGGCTGTCCTTTCACACGAATGCTGCTCCTTGGCCGTGTGCAGACGGGCACTGCGTCAGGGTGGGCAGGACCCGGCCCCACACACCCACGTGTCCAGCAGAAACTGTGCCACATCTGGGACTGCTGGGCGGGCACAGATGCACCGGCCAGAGGTGTCCTGAGAAAATGTGTCTGTTGCGAAATAATAATTAATAATAAAAATAAATCCGCGGGCACTGGGAGCAGAGAAAGGAGGACCGGTTAGCCAGGTTTGCCCTGGGATTTTCTTAAGGCCTCCTCCAGTTTCTGCCTAAACTTGTCATACTTCTTCTGCACTTGTTGGATTTTGTCTTGCTCCTCTTTTTCCAGGATCGTTAGGAAGTTCTGGAGCTCAGGGATGGAGAAGGCGTCCCACTGCGAGGTGAGGAAGACAGAATAGGAGATGTGTTAGAAGTCACCCAACCCAAGGGGCCCTGCCACCTCCCTCTGCTGTGGAATGAATGAAGCTTGGGTCTTCCATGTCCTGTGAGCAACAAAATTTCAAATCCTGGTATTTCGTGACCAAGAGATACTAGTTCATGAGCCCTGTTTTCATTGGGAGAATCAATAATCTTAAATATGCTCTGCAGCAGCTGAGCTCTCAACAGTGATGCTGGAGCTGCCCGGGGCCCCTGTTGGTCTGCTCCACCTGTCTGCCTGGCTGATCGGAGGCTCCCAACACGCAGACCCTCGGGATCTGGAGGAGAGCTGGACTTGGACTCAGGAGGCTGGGTTTCTGCCTGACTCCATGGTGTGACCTTGAGCTCATCACTCCACCCTTCTCAGCCTGTCTGCTCATCAGCCATGGAATGAAGGTATCTACCTCCCTTGGCTGGCAGAGGAGATAATGAGATAACATAATTTGCAAACCTCTGCGGAGCCTGGCTGGCCCAGGCCTGCTCAAATGGGACCTGGTCTCTCAGGCTGATCCAGGAGCTAGACCCCTGGGGAGCAGGGATTTCAACTCCTGAGTTCTTTGAGCACAGAAGAATACTAAGGTTTATCTGGTTTCATCCCCACATTGAATAAATGAGAATATTGAAGTCCACAGAGGGAAGGAAGAATCGCCACAATCACAGAGCTTATGGCAGCAGAACCAGAACTAGAACCCAAACCCAGGTCTCTAAGCTCCCAGACCCGTGAGCTTCCCCCTGGTCCAGCAGTGCTCATTTTCAGGGGGACACTTGTTTCCAAATAAAATCTTCCACGGACTCCAACACATGGAACAGATGAAAGCAGAGCTGCCTGGTTGGAGTGGGGAGAAGGGACAGAACCCCACCTGCCTAGATCCCCCAAATCTCCACAGTGACTCCCAAGACTGCTCCCTCAAAACCTAGGCCTCCACTGAGTGCAGTGGGACAAACCATGTGAGACACTCCCCTGCTCTTGGTCACATGACTCCACCTCCCAAATTATCCCAGGCCACAGGGAGCACCCTCCTGGTTTCAGCCCAGTTTACACCACCAGCCGGGATAGCTCCCCTTGGTGGGCGGGGAGGGGGGGAGTAGGTCAGATTTTTAAGAACCAGGGAGAGACGAATGGCTCCAAAATATCTATACCCAGTGGAACCCAGAGATGCTTGCTGGGCCTCAGTCCACTCTGGAGCAAAACAACCCGGGCTGAACCCAGGGAGTTTCTCAGTGTCCCTCCACCCTGAGTTTTCAGAAATAAAGCACATGATATCCGCTCTTTCCACAGGCCTTGCCAGACACAGGCCCTAGCTTGCCACCCCAGGGTGTTGGCAGTCACAGAACCGTGGCCCAGTGCTCGCCCCGGCTCGACTTTTTCAAGGCATTTTCCTGCTGCCAGTGCTGCTGCCACTGGGCCCCACCTATGCTGAGCAGTGTGGACGACGCCCGCCTGCACCCACCCGCTGCACCCCCGGGGCTGCGTCTGTGCCCCAGCAAAGGGGGCCGGGCCTACCTCCACCTCTCCGGTCTCGTTCTCCTTTAGCACAAAGCTGAGGACATCGGTGTCAGGCCCAGCAAGTAAGCGCAGGTAGAGGGGGCAGTCAGCGATGGAGAGTTTCTGGAAGAGCACTGCAAACCAAGAGAGGGGGCTGGGAGCTCGTCTGGGAAAGAGGGGCAGGGCCCAGGAAGTGTGGACAGAGCTGGACACGCAGAGGTGGGGTAGTTATAACTGGAAGTAGCTATTCTTTCAAACTAAGGGAATGAACCTGACCAGAAGAGAGGGGACTAACCTTTTATCTTTGGTGTTTGCTCAGAGTTTGAAACATGTTTCCATTCACGTCATCTCCCAAGAGATTAGGGGTGGCGGGGTGGGTTCTCTCCCTCCCCACAGATTAGGGAGTGGGGGCCCTGGTGTGGTCTTCCCGGAGTCACATACGGAGTGAGGGGCAGGAGCTCCCGTCCAGCTCTCCACCCAGAGTGCGTGTGTGCCCTTCCACGGAGTTGAGGCCACATGGTGGCCTCACTGTGGTGACCAGAGAGGGCCACTCCTCTCCACAGCTTGGCAGGTTAGTGGGGGGCACAGACAGGGTTGGGGAGGTGGTTTCTGGGTGAGAGCTCACACTCTCATACCTTGCCCATCCTTGTGTGTCTGCTTAAAAAGTGCAAACTTCTGGGGATTGTCCACGACCATGAACTTCTTGAGCAGCCCCTGGATGACCTCACTGACTGTGGTGGTGCTGCTGATGTGTAGCTGCTTGATGGCATCCAGTGGCAGGTAGAAGGATGTCCGCTTGTCTGTGGTGGCCGCCAGATTCACGTCCTTGATGGCGTCATATATGGACTGGGGCCGGATCCCAGCAGGCACTGTCACTGGCCGCAGCAGTTTCAAATGCACTTTGATGAAACCCGTGTAAGTGCCATCTTCACTCTGCCAGTCAGAGGACGTCACATGGGGTCAGGGTGGGTCTGTCAGGCATGATCCTATCTGCCACTAGGGGCATTGCACCCCCCCCCCCAACCCAACACTTTGAGTGGGCCTTTCGTAACCGCAGCACTGCCCCAGTGAGCCTCCACCTGTCTCCCTGAGTTCCTTCCCACCTCTGCTGACCTGGGGATGTTTGAGGGACACAGACACCCTTTCCTCACAGTGGGCCAGGAGAAGATCCACAATATCTAGCTACCAGAGAGGACACTTAAGGCTGCTGTGGTTTTCCTTTGGGGCAGGCCGCCTGCCCCAAATCTGCCACCAGACAGATGCCAATTGCCTTAGGTGAGTCCCCACTCTAAGAAGCAGGGTCTGAAGTGGAC